CAATGGTTAGAATGCCACTGGTCAGCTTACCAATGTCGGCCTCTTCCTTAAAGAAACCACGTCTGCGTGATGTGAAAACCACAAGGAGACTTCGACAACATGGCTGAAGTTTGTCAACGAGATTAATAAGTGCTTTGGAAATCTAACGATCAAAAAGAAATGTGCCGAGCAAATGCTAATGCAACACGCTCAAGTTCCCGAGAAAAACTTGCACAATGTACATTGAGGAAGTGCTTAAGTTGTACAAGGTCCTGGACCCTCAGATGAGCAAAACGGACAAAGTCAGTCACGTTCCGAAAATAATCGCAGAGGACGTGTACTAGTTCCTCATCGCGAAGGACAATCTGTAGTCCATGAGTGACATGCACTGCCATACGTTTGAAGCCTTAAAAGCTCGGCGCATCACACCAAATTTCGACCGCTTGGCCAGTGTAACAAATGTCGCTAGCGTTGACGTCGCTCCAGCCCAGTCTGATCTCGCGTCGGTTATCAATCAAGTGGGGCACGAAGAGCTCACCGACGTGAAGCAGCGTCTGTTCCGTCTCCTTGGGTTCGGGAGCCTCATCCTCCATGCAATCCGGGTGTGACGTCCATCAATGCTGCTTCTGTTGATGTCTAGAACTTTGCGCCGTGTCCCTGCAATGAATGCCCATCTGGTTACCAAGTCCATGAGGGCTTTGTGCATGGCCCATCTCCAGTTTGTCAACCGTGGACGGCTGCGCCATTTACCCTTCCGCTGCCAATTTCAGCATGTCTCGTGAGCGTCTGCTTTCTATGTGGCGTCCGCGGCTACGTCGCCCGACTTTGTATTCACCACCCGCAGCAAACGGTCTCGTCGAGCGCACGAACAGAACATTTACTAATTAATTTCTATGTACAGCAATTTAAGGCACAAGAATTGGGATGACATGCCTTTTATTACGTACGCCTACGACATGGTGTGGCATGAAGCTACTGGCTACAACCCCTTCTGCCTCCTTTACGTTCGACCACCCCGCAGCTTCCTTAACACCATTCTGCCTTTTCATACTCATGCGGAACTTTCTGTCGCACAGACTCTCTGTGGTGCAGAGAAAGCACGGTGTGTAGCTCAGCTTAGCACAATGGCATTCCAGGACCATTCCAAGATCACCTACGACTCAAGGCACAAATATGTGTCTTACGATGAAAGCGCCATAGTTTGGCTCTGGACGCCGCGTAGCAAGCGTGGCCTGCGTCAAGTTTCTGGCACGTTACACCAGTTGCTTCGTCATCGTCGATCGCCTCAGGGGCCTGATGTACTCAATAGCTCATCTCCTAAATCATGGCTACTGTTCTTGGCAAGCTCAACTAGCTCGCGTCACGCGCCTAAAGCGCTGTTACCGGCGCGATTCGCATTCACGTAGCCGTTAATCTCCCTGTGGGCTTCGTCTGCGGGTGGGGGCGGGGCGGGGGGGGGGGGGGGGCTACGCTAACGTGACAAGCAGGATGAAAAGAGGAGGAGGATGAAGAGTGCTTGTCTTGGCGAGAAGCATCATTAAGCCACCTTTGCCTCTGTGCACCTGCGCCTTGCGAAGAAGCGTATTGAGAATTTAGAAGGGGGGGTTGTTCGTACTATAAGTAGAGGGACAGAACACATTTTGTTCCCGAGTAAAGCCCAAACTCCATAAGCGCGAAAATGCACGCGACAGCGACGAGCGACGCTATGAGCGACGAAACATGGCGTTCGCGCGACGTGTCGCGGGGTAGTTTTCGCGCGATCGCTCGGTTCTCCAGATTTGGAAACCGTCGCTCATCGCCCGGAAGTGCTGGGCTCAAGCAGCCAATAGCGAAAAACCGGAAAAGACGAAGACTACATAGGTGCACGTGACCCTGCCAGAGTCACGTATGCGCAACAAGAAATAACGCAATGTTTATTACGCATGCGCATATAAAAAATGCTGCAAGGCAATAATAAACACTTTCCGTTCCATTACACAACAATATATCTTATTTTTAAATTGGAAACCGCTCGCTACGCGGTTTTCTTGGTGCGAGTTGACGGCCTCATGCCAGCAACAGTGGAATTCGCTCGCCGAAGCCGTCGCGTGAATGAGGTTTGCCTGCGCTAGCGACTGATCGCGCGACGCCGGTCTACGTCGCGTCGCTCGTCGCTGTCGCGTGCATTTTCGCGCTTATGGAGTTTGGGCTTTATTCATACGTGTCTATGCTGCATAATTGTGAGTACTGCTATGATTGCTCTAGGTGAAAAGCATACTGGCAATCATTTGTAGCAGCGTATGACATTTCTGCTACCCTAAGAAACAAAAAACAAAACCGTATGCCAGTCTTTGCACCCCTGCTATTGTTGCTAACGCGACAAGCAGGATGAAAAGAGGAGGAGGATGAAGAGTGCTTGTCTTGGCGAGAAGCATCATTAAGCCACCTTTGCCTCTATGCACCTGCGCCTTGCGAAGAAGCGTATTGAGAATTTAGAAGGGGCTGTTCGTACTATAAGTAGTGGGACAGAGCACATTTTGTTCCTCACTTATTCATGCGTGTCTACGCTGCATAATTGTGAGTACTGCTATGATTGCTCTAGGTGAAAAGCTTACTGGCAATCATTTGTAGCAGTGTATGACATTTTTGCTGCCCTAAGAAACAACAAACAAAACCGTATGCCAGTCTTTGCACCCCTGCTATTGTTTCCTGTTGTGTTTCGATGCACTCTTTGCTAGCACATTTGTATTAGACAGTTGTTGTCACACATTTTATTTTTGGGCTTGCTGTGCTAGATGTTGAAGCACAGCCTGAAAATTTTGGCATTAGATGTTTTTGCTGTTTGCTTGTTCATCCTTTTTTTTTTCTGATTGGTTCCTAGCTTAGTGTGGACTGAAATGTTTACTTTCTTGTATTTGTACCTTTTTATGAAAACCTTCCATTTTTTGAAACATTAATTCTTGATTTCGTTCATGATGTTAGCCACTAGCTAGAAAACTAATAAGATTTTAAGTTGATTTGGCATCAACATGTCACTGTGTTAGTTTGAGTGGCTCGAGTCCTGTGCATAATTTCATGTACTAAGCACTCATTTCAAACCCTGCTTGTCTAAACAACGTACAATAATTTGTCTTCGAAGCCTATGCTATGTTCATCATTTTGTGATTGCTCGAAATAATTGAGCTTAACATGCTGACTGACATGATAATTTTATAGCAAATGAATAAATTAATTCAGCTTTTATCTGCATCTCTAGGTTTTGCTTTCTAGTGACTTAAAATAAATTTGGAGGAGGAATATTAAGCTTTTTAACACTTTTGAAAAGTGTGTAATGTTGAGGAAAGCTGACAAGAAATTTACTTAGCCAAAAAGACTGGTCAAATGATATAGTAAACGACATAGCAAACTTTTCTGTCCACTGAAATTCTAAGGTGATGCAAATGGGAACTGTTCAAACATATCGCATTGCTACCACAAGTAGTGTGTGCTCACATATAAAAGAATTCTCAAGAATCACTCATGGTTTTATATTGAAGCTCTGGGTTTTTTATCTTTGTGTGTTATTTCGTGATTGAGGTATTCGGTATTGAGGGAAAAATGCCCCTTAATGTTTTCCACTTAAGTCTCAGATATTTTGGTCAGATAAGGGAAACGTACTTGCTGCACAGGTTGACCAAAAACTTGGTAGTTTCAGCCTAAAATTGACCATTTGCAAAAGTGCAACAGCACATGCTTCAACCCTGATGCCTTAAAAGCACAGGTCACAAGTGGCATCTACTTGTTTGGAAAGAAAACTATCTGCTCTGACAAGCCCCACTCAGCGTCTGCTTGGCTCATGCGAACCTCCCGATTTTCAATTGTAAAGCTTGCTGCCAATTTGAATGAACTTTTCAACTATAGAAATCTGCCTAAATCGGACAGCAGTGTGGAATCAGGTGCTTGCTGTAGTCTCGATGGAACAGTTAACTGAAATGCATGTGCAGGAAGCCATATTGTGGTTTCATGATGGCTTCTTGGAAGGTTCAGATTGTGGGGAAAGGAGAAAGAGAAACATATATCTGAAAAGCCATACTATCTGTGTTCAGTGAACTCTCTATTGTATACATGAATGAAATCCTTGCTTTGTTCCTCATTTATTCTGCAGCCCTAAGAAACAACAAACGAAATTGCATGCAAGTTTTTTTTTTTTTTTTTTTTTTTTTTTTTTTTTTTTTTGACACCCCCTCATGTTACTGCTTGACGAATCTCCCAAATTTCAAGGTTAAGCAGCCTGGGACAATTGTCGCAATGAAAAGCTTTTTCCCCTCTGCATGTTGGTTTGCTTGCTTTTGAGCTGACATTTTTTGCTGCTACTAATAATTTTGTTGGCATATTGATGTTTTTTTTTCTGGCCTTGGGGTTATGTTAAAAAGACGTGAATTTGGTAACTAAATCTTATGGCAATTGATAAGTAATATGTTTGTTGAATTGTGTGCTAATAAAAGCATGCTTTAACATGCATGTATGTAAACAAGTAAGTATGAGCATTTCAATCACAATTTTTATTTAGTAATACCATTGGTATCATTAACAATACATTGTGCTTTCCAGGTTTATTGAACACACTTGTGGTGATGTATTCTTTGTGGTTTTCTGAAAAGTCACAGAAGAAAACATTGTACTAGCGTAGTTTTTAATTAGGCATGAACATGAAGGTTATATTTATTTTACTGTAGTCACCAGATAGCTACTCTATACCTGGGGACAACATTTAGAACCTAGACATACAGAGCATAGAGTCATTTTTTTTTAAATGAGCACTCTGTGCAACTTTTCTAGTGAAAGTAATTTCACATAGACTATTTTAATTTACATTGTTACCAGTGGTTGCTAATTGGTAATGGACTTCAGTGGCAGCATTTGTGTGTCACAGAGCTGAATTCTGATCCTCAAAGAGTTTTCTGGGGTACTGCTTTATCATCACACGACTGTAATAAGGCTGTACTCTTGTGTAGATGTCATGTTGCTGGGCTATTATTTTTATGTTTTTATCCTTTGCCTAGCGACCCAAGAGCAGCACAATCTTGACCTAGCACATGGCTTAGTGTTAGATGGCATCAGTTCAGAGGAGCCTCACAAAATTTTATATTTGAAAGGTGAGTTTACATAACAGCAAGCTCGCAAAAATAGCAATACTATATCAAAAAGGGTGTACCAAAACATCTCATAGGCGGCATGCCTGGACCTACATCATAGCGAAAACCAAAATTTGCGGTGTCTGCTTAGGTGCTGTTTGAAGGCCGCTAACAAGAAAACTGTATCTGTGATGTTCTTATAAAGCCCAAGTGTGAGGCAGCATTCCATTTTTACGTGTTAAAGAGCAACAGGAATGCAATCATAGTAGCAGAAAAAATGCAGTTGTGGCTATGATATCTTGTTTTTAAAAATGGGCCCCGTATCTTCATGTTAATCTGCAATGTCCTCGAAAGACGATAGTCTTGCGTGTGGAGAAAGTGAACAAAACATTTATTTGATGTTCTGCGCAAGAAAATTGGTGAATGGTATTCTAAAGACGCTGCGTTAAAGTGCCTCGAGCATGCAGTGGAGGCGAACAAGTGCATCAAGTCACGTCACGCGTGAGACATGAGCGCCATCTGGCAGGTTTCTTGGAAAACGAAGCGCGTGGTTCTGAAACAGGTGTGCGCGCCCGTCTCGGAGGTGATAAGGTGTAAAACACAAAGCGACTGGTAGGTGCCGCCACCATCTCGTCTTACCAAAGCGTTGGAAACACTCACCTTTTCCTGCAAGCGTTGCATGGTCAGCGCAGCCTGATAACCGCTATGGTCCTTAATATTACTTATGTATGCCTTTTCTAGTAAAAGACGCCCATGAATATATACGTGTTGTTATGGTGCCCCAGACACACGCAATAATTGCTTTTTAATTGACAATCGCACAAGTATGAGCGCTAAATCTTGAGCAACATTGGTGGGGTCGGCCATTTCAAGTACCTGGTGCTGTTAAGAGTGGACAAACAGACAAATGTACAGACAGACAGACCAAAATTTTTGCGGCAAAGGTCCCCAAAAAAGACTACCGTGTTTAAAAAAAAAGATGCAGGTGCTTCTGTGCCCGTCTTTCTGGAGCTACCACTACTCTGCTTTGCTCGCTGGGACATGCAAAATGCATTGCTTGCCTGCTCGCATCACTTCTGGCAGTGGTAGAAGAATGTTGCTACCTTTGTTGCTGTCTTAAGTTTTTTGGGAGCTTTATGTAGATGGAGTGAGCACTTTCCCTTCTATTAATTGCTGCAGCTCACAAATCGGTAGCTGTGATTATTAAAATGCAGATACAGACATAGGTGCAAAAACTGAAGTGAACCGAGTAGGCTGATCATTTTGTGTGCTCTCTCAATGGACGTAATGTTAGTATGAGGGCTTGTTATCTAGTTAAAGCTTGGCCAATGAGATTATGCATTCTATCACTCCTATTCGTTCGTTTCATTGCACAAGCTTCGTGACTGCTAGTCCTCATGGTAATTGAGTGTGATCTGTTCATGTTTGCATGCATGCACCGACCCCATGCCTATCAAAGGGGCACTCCAGCACTTTTGAAGCATTTATATTTTATTTGTGATTTGCATAGACTACTGGCTGGGGATAGTTTGGCATAGGTCTAAGCACCAGTGTTTAATGATTTAGTATTTTAGCCACGCAGTCAAGTCACTGCGTCGCTTCCAACCGCAATAACGTGTAGCGCACTCCCCAGACCTATTTGCGGCTGAAAATGATAAAGAAGTGCACAGGTCTCTGATTGAATAACGAATGTTATAAGTTATTGTGGTCTGGCGGCGAGACTGAGATTACTATTGTTTTGTTTTTCTTTTCAGTGCTTCTTTTATTGAATAGCAAATTGATCAAATCCCAATAAGAAAAGATCACTACAATTAGTACAAAGCATGAAAGTGGTGCTGGCTGTCATTTTGCCTCAGGCTTTATTTCTTGTGTGGTTTGGGTGTCCATGTGGAAGGTTTCTCTTTCTCTCTCCTCCTCTTGCTTCTGTAATTCTGTAACTTTGCGAGCTGCCTTGTCGCGCACATGCTTAACACTCTTCATTGTTCTTTAAGCAGTGCAAGTGATCTTCTTTGTTTAATTGATGCCGTTGCACCCTTGTAGTTCTTCAGGTGGCTCACTGCACAACCCGCGAAACCACTTTGCACTCTCCGGGGATACCAGGGGCAACCGTGCCTGTCCACCTTTGCCATCCCACAAAAGTCCTTCTCAGAATGGCAGGAGGGAGTGGCACGGAGTATTTTCGTAAGGAACAGCCGAAAAAGCTTCACTTTGAAACAGTAGCGTCTGTTTAAATTCTGACAAGCCAGGGTCGCATATTTCTAACAGCCTTTCTATGTAAACAAAGCACTTTGTTTATTACAATGGCAATAGCACATTAACGAGACAAATGACAATGGAGTGCAAGCTCCTGCTATAAAAGAGCATTGGCGGAGAGTTTTCATATTCTCATAGAAGGCGTGCCCAACTTGTTCTTTCACAATTTTCTCACTTTCTCTGTATGTGTGTTAAATAGACACATATGCATATACACACACGCGGGCACACACAGTTAAACCATTTTACAAGAAAGATGCTCCGAGAAGCTATTCTTGTATTTTATATAAGGTGTCTCATATAGAGCTGTGCACGGGCCAAATCTATGGCCCGAGCCTGGCTCGGGCCCACAGACTGCGCCGAAGGCCTGTCCAAACCCGACGCCAGAGGGCTGCAAGCCCGCCCAGCCTGGTCTGACCTGACATTATGAAGGTTTGCGGCGGAAACAAGATGTTGTTTTTTAATAATATGGCATTTTATTTAACATGTCAAAGTGAAACATAAGCATACGACACATGACGGTCACTGTATGCAACGATTACAAGTTAGTTGGCGGGTAAAAATAAGCTGTCCAGTTATTCGGGTTTCAGTGAAGTGCAACTCTCCTGCATCACATATGCCACTCAACTGAAGATTCCTTTACTGCTCACACTTGCCATTGTCATGGGTGCAACACCTGCGCAAATCGTGCCAATTTGATACTATTCTCAATTGTTCCACCGAGCTGCGCCAAACCCATGAAATTCGCTAAAATTTTACCATGCTGCGCCAAAATGCCCAGCCACATTCAAAATTTTCTTTAGAATGTGCTAATTTGGTGAGAAATGCAGGCTCTGTCGCCCTGCATTTGCAGCTACACGTGCAGCTTGTGTCATCAGTCAGAGCGTGCAGACCCGGGCTATAGTGCCTAGAATACACTTAAAATATTCAAGGCACTCGCCCTATGCTCTGGAAACGCGATCGAACAGATAAAGTAACAACGCTGCGCGCTCATTGGTCTGCAGACTGCAGCGGATACCTGTGGACGGGACGACGGAACTTGGACAAAAATTTGTTGCTGTAGCTATCGACGCTTCGCGGAAAATGTAAATTTTCTAGCCTGAAAACGCAGCTATGGCTTGTTAAGAACTAAACTGGAAGCGTACACCACGTTTTTCTCGCACAAACTAGCTCGACGTGCTGCGAATGCCGGCGTTGCCAGCAACCACGTTGTTTGGTTAGCAGTGGCACATGAAACATTTTTGTCTTGAAGTTGCGTCATCCCTGCCATGGTCCTGGCGATAGATATCCGATACCGTTGCCGGGACAACGGGCACATGCCGTTGTTACTTTATCTGGTCGAACGCGCCTTGCAAGGGAGCCGAAGCGGCACCTAACCCTCCCGCCCTTCAGGTAAAAAAAGGGGGTGGGGGGAGGGTTGGTGGTAGTGTTGAAAATTTCTTGGCTTTGGTTCTAATGCTGCTTGAGCCACCTTCGCTGCAGTGCGCCGGTGCCCTGCGGAAAAGCGTATTGAAATTCAGAAGGGAATGTTAGCGCTAGTGGGACACTGCACATTTTGCTCAGTTACTCATGAATTTGTACGCCGCACAATTCAGAATACCAGTATAATCACTGATGTCTAAATAAGCTACTGGCAATCATTTAAAGCAGTGTATGACATTTTTTAACCTAAAAAACAAACAAAATTGTGTGCCAGTTTTTTTTTTCGCCACCCTTACTCCTCGGTTTTACGAATCTCACAAATTTCAAAGTTGCGAGCTTGGCAGATTTATATGTAAGTTCGCAGTGTCTGTCATGATTTGACAGGCGCAGCAAATGCTAATATGGACTTTATTATTGTTTGTTCAGCGGGGTGGTTCATAATCCTACTTTTATTGAAGTAGCAGTGCTCATGTTCACACTGCACGATTTAGGTGATGTTGAATGGTTTCAACATATTTTTTTTTCTAAATATACGCCATATTTTGTTTACTGCTCCAAATTGGGTGTTTCATGAAGTGCATGTTTTTTTTTCCTTAACCTGCTCCAAATTTGAAATTTAGTGCTCCAAAAGTAACATTTTGCTGCTCCAAAAATTGCTCCAAATTGTATTTCGGCTGTTGCTCCCTTGCAATATATATTTTTCAGAAGCATGGCAAGTTTGAAATATTGAGATCTTTTTTTTTTTTCTTAAATTTTGTAACGCAGATGTATAAGAGGATATTCATCCGTATATAGACAATCGCAAAGCTTATCTTGTGTGCCTTCACCCTCTCACGTTGTGTTTAAAATGGCTAAAGGAAAGCAGAACCGAGAAATGGGGCGGGGGCAGTCGCGAAGAAGGTCCTATGCAGTGGAAAGAAGTTCCGGCACGTCTTTATTTCTGGCTTGATTCGACCTTTGCATCTGACGTGGCCCGCCTGACAAAATATAATGAAGCCCGAGCCCGGGCCCAATAAGAGGAGGCGACCTGATCAAACCCGGCCTGCGAACTGGCCTCGGGCTTTCGGGCTACGCAAGCCCGTGCACCCTTGTAGTCTCTTATAGGCAGGCTACTACACATCCATTTTCTTATGAACACGTATTTCAATGCAGGCACTCTAGTGTCTTGCATCGTGTCTCTTACCAAGGGGTTCAACTGTGTGTGCGTGTGCGTGTTTGTGTAGCGAGAGAGAGAGAAAATCTTATTGAAAGTATTAAGAAGATAATAAACAAATGTCTGTTACTTAAGCAAAGGTTTCGTTTTCTTGATGTGTACAGATACATCCTGTACTTATTTTGCACACGAGTTGTGAAAATGCCGCAATTTTCGTCACTCTGTGACTTTGTTTGTAATGTGACCACGGCACCAGACTGCTTACTTGTCACTTCCCCAGGATCCTAATTATAAGATACTTAAAGGAAAAGGAGCGGGCATAAACAGTCTCCTGCAAAAAAAGCTGCAAGGTAGAATGTCCAATTGGCAATGGATGAGAACCTGAGCTGAGTTTTTTGAAAAATACTCAAAGCTCTCCGCCTATGTAATGAAGGTTTCTGCTCATTTAATTGTTGACGTACGATCATGTGACCACACGAATATTGAGTTAAAGATAAGCTTTAACTCAAAGATAAGAATTGAGTTAGAGATAAGATTTTCTTGTATTTTGAGCTTTCTGGACTGAATAACGACTGTGTGCCCTTAACGCTGCTGTTCTCACTGCACTAATCTGTCCATACCTCAATCTACATCACATGCGAGTAAAAAATGAAGGGTTAATTAGTGTTGTGGGGCCTATTTTCAGCAGACATACGAGTCGAAAAATGTAAGTTTTTCCCAAAGTTACATATTCATTTTTATTTGCTTTCACAAGTTCAGTTTCACTACCTTCATGACCAAAAAAAAAACTGAAGATTATAATTAAACTCAAAGTAGGTTAAAATGGCTCTTAAAAAGCACAAGGCGACTACTAAAAATTAAAGAGAGTTTATTGTCTAGAGTCTCTTGGATATTGTCAGCTGTCCGCTTGTCATTGCATTTCGCAAGAGGAATTGACTAAAGCGACTCGCTCAAAATAACGATTTTCAGGCTCTCATAATGGAATAAATCATATTTAAGAACATATATTTGCCGCTTAGATGAGCTTTGACTTATACCTTTAAAATGTGTTTTTCTGAAGGTCTATTTTTGGGCTGCTACTTGAGTTCAGACATGTTTTTAGCACTTTTGATAGCCAGAGTAGGATATAATTCTGCTCGCATATTCCTTAACATGTGAAAGGTGCAAGTATCTTTTTGAAAACTTGATATTGCTAGTATAATTATGATGAATCTAAAGCAATCAAACTAGTATGCACTGAGGATTCTAAGAATTTTCACATTACAATTTTTCTTGTACTATAAGATGTTTTATACCACTTTTTTGATAACTATTTGAATTTATATTTAATGTGGAGTAATATGAGCCATTAATGGCTCAGGACCACAGATGTTTAATGGCATGAGAAGTTTATCTATAATGAATTATATTTTACACATTGTCCTGGCCCAAAACAAAATTTTTGCCGAGCTACTAAAAACTAATTACATAATTGAAATCAGCGTAAAAGCATTCATATGTACAGTGTGTACATACACACAGCAAAAAATGTTATCGCCCTAGACTACAGATTAAAGGAACTTTTTCTTTAATTGCATCTCTCCTCTAGTTAATTATTAAGGGTTTGTTAATTTGAGTATACAGGCAGATAAAATTGTTGCATTGTATAACTGTCTAATGCATTGCTATGAAGGAAAGAAGTCTAAATTTAAGGGGTTGTTTTCTTTGTTAGACATAACATTAGTGAGAACTAACAGACAGTGATGCCAAGGAAAGTATAGATGATATTATTAGTAGCAATTGTAATGTAAATGTGAAGAAAGAAAAATGAATGAAAAGATTACTTGCTGCCAGCAAGGATCGAATTTGTGACTTTCGAATAACGTATCCGGTGCTCTACCAAATGAGCAGCGTTGGTCATCCTTCCGTCCTCTCTGTAGGTATATAGTACAAGCACTTAAACTCGGGAGTGTCAGGCAGCACTGCAAGTAGCTATTGCGGCGAGTATGGAACACTTTTTTGCCTGTTAGCAACATATAGCACATGATCTTATTACTAACTGGCAGCTGACCAACAGTCCCTCGTCTGACAAAATTAGACTCCCATTAGCGAGGGTCTCGTTTTGTGAATGACGAGAAGACCCACTTCCGGCCCAGCACTGCAGTCAGTAGTAAATTGCACATCATTAAATAGCATAGACAGGCAGTTTAGCATGTGCCCACGTGGTCCGTAAACTTGCGTAGTTGATCGTAGCTACCGACTTGCTACGTTTTTTGTTCTAACGCTAGCCATATCTAATCGGCTACTTTCGCAAGTCTATTCTTATTTAGTTATTTGTTGGACGGAGGCGCATATGCCTCTCACTTTTTAGTCCTTGTTTTCAGTGGTGTTGCTTTTTAAGAGAGCTCTCGTTACCACATCTAAGCCACTAATTTCATCTATTCAGCCTGCTACAACATTATTTATGCAGTTTCATAGTGATTCTGCCAAGTGGAATCATGCAACAAGTCAAGGGGCTTTTTTTCTTTTATTTGGATCTGAATTTCAGTTTTTGTATGTTTTTATAGCTTAATTTAAACCAAAACACAAAGTTGCTGGGTGAATAAATCATGCCGGCACCACAGTAACCACTTAACAAAAACTGTCAGCTGTTTTTACTGATGTTTAAGGATGAATAGAAAAGCAAAAGCAGTGTGATTCACTTGCTCAATATCAGGCTTAGCATGCATCGCAATAGCTTATGTGCTGTTTGGCCCATGCTGATCGCATTGTTTTACAGTGGAGCTGTCCAGCTTTCTGTTGCGCTGTGTGGCGACACTACAAAACTGTCAGCATCATGAACTGGCATGAGTTTTCTGTTTTCTTTCTTGTCTTCGCCCTCTCCTTCTGCTTTGCTCACTGAATGTGCATGCCGATTTCTCTATGTGGGATGCAGTAACTTTGATATGCAAAAAAATGCACATGTTAAGTTGCGGAGCTCGAGCGCACTCTAGCCAGTGAAGTGTGCTCTTGTAAACTTGACTGTCGAAAAGAGGCTTTCTATGCATGATTACGGAGCGCACTCTACACACTCCAACCATGAGACACCGCACAAGGGCCTGCACGGAGCTCGCTCCTGCGACGACTTCCGGAAAATGACGTGTTTCTGACTCTCTTCTTTGATAAAGTGCGTTCTCTTTTTCACCTGTTCCTGCCGTAGGAAGCAGCATAGCATTTACCATGTAACTATTTCGTGCCCCCGAAAGCAGTCGGTGGAAATGGCTATTAAGGTAAGCTCCGAAAGTGTTGCACTAGAGCACATCGGAATGTGTTCCTTTAGTGCACTAACTTAAAGGGGCCCTGTAACACCTTTTGAGCATGGTCAGAAAACGTTGCCGATCGGTAGTAGAGGCTCCCGACAACACGCTAGCCAAATATTATAGCGCAGCACACGGCATGGAATTCGCAATAAATTATCAAAGTCAGCTGAAATTTCCTTTCTCTTCTCTCGACAAATCACAGAATAAGCCCAAAAATCACTCGTAGTAAGCTCATCTATCAGCCATTGGCTGATATTGAACATGGTGTGTTCAGTTGTTATAAAGATCGTTGGGGAGGCGGCTACTTGTTCACGCGTGCACGCGAGATCTCACTGAAAAACTCGCGCATTCGAAGAAAAAAAAAGGAAAAAGTGCTGAAGATCAGAAGGCACGCGTGGCGTTTTTTGTTTGTCTCCTCCCATCCCTCTCTGCTTAGTTTCCAGCGCTTTCGTCGGGACAAGAGAAGAGAGAATGCAATTGCAGCATGTGACAAATCTTAGTAACTCCACTCCTACTGGACAAATTCATAAAATTTTTGCGGCATTCATTTTTTTGAGGCAATACGCTTTTCCGGTTAATTAATTCCATGGTTACTCAAAAACTTGTTTCAGGGCCCCTTTACCACACCGAATGACTACAGAGAAAGAGGGAAAAAGATGTAAATGGAGAGGGAAGAGAAAAAAAAGATATGAGGCGGGAGGACGAGAGCTGGGAAAGATAAGAAATACAAAGAGATAGAGGGAAAGAAAGAAAAGATAAAAAGATAGGGAATTCTAATAGAAATTGATAGGAAAAATGTATAGAAATGAGAGGGCAAGCATAGTCATGTATATAACAGTATACTCTCGTTGAACGGAACCAGAAGGGACCAGGAAAATGTGTTCTAATTAACAGGAGTTCCATTTACTGAGAGAGGAACAAGGGTTGAGAATCCAAGTATAAAACCGATCGTGCTGGAGGCAGTTGTTCATTTAAGCAGCACTTCCGTTTAACAGATTTCCATTTACTGAGAGTCTACTGTATAGCATAGCATGGGGTAGGAGAGGGAAACGTTAATGAGGAGGAGGTGAAAGAGTAAAACATAGCACAGACTTCTATAGTAGTATAGTAGAGCAAGGTGTTGAACAAGAAAGTGAAGGTAGGGAGCAGGGCAAAGTGTATACAGTGTATACGTAGTAATCAGGTCGGCAATGTGACCAGCTCTACTTCTGTCTTCGCATCACTAATGCGTAGCTGCCCCAGTTTTGTTTTTCTTAGTGATAAAAAGAGGATCTTGATTGTTGAGGAAGCATTTGAGCTATTTTGGAAGTTGCCAGGAAACTCTTAACAATAGTGGTGACACAATAGCGGCTTTTCCAGATAAGCATCAGTTTTCCAGATAGACTCTCCACCTAAACTTGACTGGCACGCAATGGCAAGGCTGCTAGTGCTCAACTAGCAAAAAAGGAGCGCACGTGTAGTACACGCACATTGTGTGTTAATGTTCAACTATGTGAATATTGCCTCGTGCCATTTCACAAGAAAATTAAACCATTTCAAGTGAACTGCTGTACATTTTATGAAGGGGGTCTAAGTGGACAGTGCGACATATGCCCCTTCCCCCCCCCCCCCTTTTTTTTGTAATAAAGCGCTTTTCTACTTTCATATTGGCTTTTACAGAAAGAAATTTGATGAATAACTCACAAAAATGGTGTGTAAAAAAAGGTCTAAGTTGCAGGAAAGACTGCTTCTGCCATTTGAAGAATTCGATAAGCTTTCCTCGTCTCTGACTGTTTTCGTGTCTTAGTCAACATTCCTTCACCTCGGGTCTCTTGAGCATACATTTCAGGTGAAATAGTGTCCTTACATCATGGGTGCTTTCAGTGTAACCTGTCTTTGCAATCATAATAATTATCATCATATATTAAATGATTTCGGGCTTTCAGCAGTAATTTATAAATGCTACCAACCATTCATGCGCAAAATTTAAGGCTGCCCTGCATACGCCATTGGCCATACCATGCTGAATGCGCCGGTTCTCGTCCAGGCTACCCTGCATACAAGGGCGGACAGAAATTCCCAGGTCATGCTGCAGTTACATAGCATAGCGGCTTGGGAACTTATGACCACCTCTGTACATATGTACGATTTGAATTTACGTGACTTGCCTGAAAATTTATTTCAAAATTAAATGCCGGTTGTACATTACAGACAGTCATTTTGTCTTGCATCAACAGGCACGTGCCCTTATTCATAACAGCCTGCTTAGGCAAACTATCGCATAGTGCAAACAACTTTTGATGATTGAACAAATTTTGCAAGTTGTGTTTGCAGTACCATCAACAACTTTTGAACTGTACCAGTTAGCTTGCAATGAACTGAGCAAAGTTTTATCAAGGCACTCTCACAATTTGCTTGATGTGAGGTATGTTCAGTGTACGTGAAGGCTCCAACTACAATCTTGAAAAATGTCAACTTGCAAGGTTACTTGAAGGGTTGACACTTGACAAGCAATAGAATGCACATAAATAGCATGTTTGCTTAACCTGGCTGTCTGAGATCAACTTTGGTATCGTACAAACCATAAAATATGTCAGGAATGTAGCCAAGAATGCAAGTGATGCTCTGATTGCATCAGGTCAAGGGTGAATATCATGTCCTACCAGTTTCCTTGCATACATTGGGATGTTTCTATTCACTAAAAATACTTGCACTCATCATGGTGCAGCATGCAACATGAAAACATCAAAATGCAGCATGAGCTTTCATTTACATCAGCCCTTTTGTACCCACTTATGTACACAATTTATTTTTGCCCTGAGTAACAAATGATGACAAATATGAATCAAGAGATAGAGCTTTAGGTGTAACAGCTCCATAAAAATTTGACTTGTGGTGCGCTGCGTGATATTGAAGGCGATTACTTAACATAGACACTACCACAATTTATGTACTTTTTCAAGTGCCAACAAGTTTGCCTTGCATCAGCATACACCTGCCTCTATTTAGAGCAGCCCACCTATTAACTATCGAATCCTTCATACACTTGTGCATAAGCAGTGTTTCCTGCAGTTTAATTGAGAGTAGATTTTGCAAAAGTAGCTGATTAGATTTAGCATGCATTAGGATAGAAAACATAGCAATTCGGTAACACTTGGAAGGAACAAAATTCCTCATAATTCATTTAAAAGGGATGGCAGCCCACACAAAGGCATCCCTGACATTTTTCTTCCCTTTTTTACTACACAAATGGCATAGTCACACATATGAGTCTCTGTACATCATCTGTAGATGGTCTTTTAGTAAATCCTCTCTGGAAATGAGATTTTCATTGTGAGGGTTGAGCAAGATAAGTGTGAAAACTGGAAGCATTCCATGCATACTGTGTTGTATCGCATTGTGTAGATGATAGTGGCATAGGTTTTACTTTTCCTTAAGGGTATAAAAGTCTTACCTTCGAACGTCGGGCTTGGGCACCAATAACAGTGTGGGCAAGTGCTAGCCGATTTTTCTGTTCTTCCTGGTCGCTTTGAGTCAGGTGTTGTCCCCAAGTATAGTTAATTAGCTATTAAAATGGAATTCATTCCTGTAGTAATACATAAAAACCTTCTTTTGAGATCTGACCGAGTTCTAAGCCTGGAGCTTCTGTACTTTATCTGTGTTCTGTCTTGCTTTTCCTTACAGCTGTTCAAGCTGGCTCTACCACCAGGTATGTTACTGTAGATAGCAAGACTGCTGCAGCATCAGATGGCACCAGGCCAAACATCGTAGTGGTGACATCGGTACCTGAAATCCCCAAAGAAAACAAGCCACTTCGTTCTGGTTCTCTGGCACTCTTTTTTCGAAAGGTATGACTGATAGCGATTAATGCTGCTGATATAAGCTATATTCTGATTTGGTTAAATCAAGTTGTCCAAATAAAGCACCTATTCAAAACTTTATATACACAAAAAGGGTCTCTAAACAGAAATGCCAAGTGCAGCCCATAAAGTGCCCCTTCATTTTTTTGTGTGTTTCTAATATCGCAGTAATATCATGAATATTACAGGAGGAAAATGAATCAGGGCTTTATAATTTCGAGCCAGAACTCTATTGCGAACAGATTGGCGTAACAACACTCATATTTATGCATTTTTTCTGTATTTGAGCTTGGAGGCAGTAGAAGGTTTCGGCTTTTAAGTGCAGTGCTGCCAATCTTTTTTTTTGTGTGTGTGAAATCATTAACTAGGCCCAAGTCGGTGCTGTTGAGTGTATCTGGTGCAGGAATTGCAAGGAAGTGTTGCCACCCATATGGCTTTTTCATCTATTATGGCTTTTCAATCTCCCCCCCTCCCTGTTTGTTTTTTCTCTCCCCTGAAGCGTTTTTTTTTTTTCTCGATAATGTAACAAAAAGGGTAGTTTGTTGTAATATAAATTACATTATTTTTCTTTTTGATCTCAAAGTTACAGGGGCATTGCGACACTTTCAGCATGGCCAGAAAATGCTGCTGATAGGTGGTCGAGGTTCCCGAGAACTCGTGAGCCTGGACGATGAAAGGGCAGCACTCGACCTCGAATTCACCATAAATTCTCAAATTCAGCTAAAAATCACTTTTTCTCAACGAAAGTGTGTTATATATACTAAAAATATTTGCATCATAGTCTAAGTAATCTGCCATTGACTGATTTGAGCATGGCATGCTCAGGAGTCACTGGAGCCATGCGTGATCGCGTTGAAAAGCTGTGCGTTCGAAGAGAAACAAAGAAAGAAAAGGTGCTCAAGGTCACGAGGTGCACGTGATATACTGTCTTCCCCCTTTTTATCCGTCTCTGCTTAGCTTCCAATGCTTTCATTGGGACGAGAGAAGAGAGAAAGCAATTACAGCGAGAAACAAATCTTTCCTCTCGTTTTGGACAGATTCAAAAAATTTTTCCGACGGTCGATTCATGAGGCAATGAGCTCCTTCAAAGAAGCTATTCCATAACTACCTGGATAAACGTTGCGGGGTCCCTTCAAAGGAACACTAAGGAGCAAAACGATTTTGCGCGTATCAGTAAAGTACAATTTGACAATCACGATAACGCCACTCTTACTACGACATCAGTTAGGGAGAAAATAGGCTAAAAAAAATGCAGGTGGCAATGTCACCTTGAAATGTCCGCTACAAACACCGTGACGTAAGAAATTTTGAAAGTGTGTACTGAGTTTTACATAGCTTTTATTCGAATAAAATGAAGTACATTATTATCTGTGGCTGCCACAAACTTAGCATACCAAATTTCAGAGAATTTGATCGAGCCAATGCCACAAAAATACCAAAAATACATTTTGAAATTTCTGACATCACACGCAGAGATATTGACTCTACATTTTAAACAGAAACTTAACCTTGATTTTTTTCTGCTAATAATGAACTTATGATAGTGAAGCATGTGGCATTAGAGTTTTCAGAGAGCAATTCATCAAGCTAAACCAAGTCATTGTTCTTCTTTAGTGTCCCTTTAAGGACCGGACAAATGGCTGAAAAATTATGTAGCAAGTTACTTCTGTGGAGTGGCATGTAGGTGGAAATTTCCTATGGCGTTTGTTTTGATAACATTGTCCTTGTAAATTACGGAGATGTACATTTAGTTGGTAAGTCGGTCAGTATGGCTTGAGTTTAATCGGTCTGTTAAATGCTACTCAGTGCACTGTCTTATTTTGCCTTGGCTTTTCTCTAAAATATATTCGAAAGTTGTTTATTCTCTCTTCGGTAAATGTCAGTAGCATGTGACGTTTAACCCTTTTATTGTCAGTTTCATTGGAGGTGATGCACACTTAGTGTGGCTTTGGTTATGTGTTACAAGTGAACTCACAGTTTCTGCATCAGTTATGCAGAAGGGAAAAGAATATGAACCTAGTGGTGACAAACACACTCTTGGCATCATTCTCACATTGCAATCTGGCAGAATAGGAATCTGGAAAACATGCTGCTGACTCAAAAAAGCAATTGTTTGAGCGAGTTGAGGGTACCGTAAAACCGGAGTATAGGTCAGACCGGAATATATGTCTACCCCCCAAACTTTGAACCTCTGAAAAAGAAATCTTTAAATATCGCAAAGTATCGCATTGCACCCTTACCTTAGTGAATACGCGACACAACCAGCTGCACTGTGGTGACATTTCTTTTTATTTGGACACTAATCTTATGTAGTTATACGCCAGAAGGCTACAAAGTGCTCACACTTAGACTCGTCGCGCCCAGAGTCGCGCGCTATCTCAAGAGCTTTCACGCGGATGCACTCTGCTGTTTGGGGTAGCGACCTTGCACGCAGCTCCCGGATGAGCTTGGCGACTAGCATTTCCATTTAGGGGTGCACTGCAGTCTGTCCATGAAATGACTTTTTTTTTTGTTGTTGCTGCTGCAGGATGTAACTCTCTGCTTTTGGCTCCTCCTGTATCGGACGCTTTTCTATGATTCATTGAATTCCCGTTGTGCCGCCAGGTTGCCATGCGCTTCGGCATACTCGATAACTTTTTCTTAAAGCCTATCGTAAACTGCCGTCGACTACCACTCATTTCTGAAGGAAATAGAAAAAAGAAAATAGCAGACTGACAGTAGATAACCAAGGCAAAATGGCGTTGCCAAAATACTAGGCCTTGCCTAGCCTTTCCCAAGGGCGGCACTGCTGATGCTCACGATTGCAATGGAGGCTTTCGATTTCAGCTGCCCATTGTTGCAAAACTTCCACATTTTTTCTGCCAATGACCGGTATATAATACGGGGGCCGACTTTAATACGACGAGGGTCAACTTTAGTAAAGAAAAAAACGTAAAGTTCAGAAAAAGTAAAACATCAATAAATAATTATGTCGGAATCGTACAAAATTATTCCAACAATAAAACATTATACTGATGAAACAGCATGCATTATAGACTAGTGTGCAAGGAAATTGGTAGGACTGAGCAAGAATACAGAATATGTGTAACTACCATTAGAATGTTTTTTTTTGCATTCTTTATGAATAAACAAAGTACTGGATTAACATCTAATGAAAGAGACAAAAATTTCTCCTGATGCTCCTTCGAAGGGCGCTTTACGGGAACCCCGTCAGAAATTTGTGTTATGGAATAGTTCCAACGCACGATGGGAATCTTCAACTGCCAGATTTTATTGAGTGGGTGAAGTAATGACAAATGACAATTACGATTAGAAGAGCTGATGCTTTCTTCCCTTGTCTCAGCCAACAATGCTCTTTTATTTTGTACAGACGAATCTCATTTATTCGAACACACTTAATTCGAACTTCAGGTTAATTCGAACTCACGATGAGGTCCCGTCAAAGCTATGTGTTTTCCAATGGGCGAAAACGCCCGATAATTCGAACTCGCAAGCACTTGCGATGGTTAATTCAAACATACCGCGCTCCGAAAATGCTCTCAGCACATCGCCCAATCCCGCAGCGTCACCTGTGACATCTCAATGCCGCGTGCGAAGGAAATGAAAAGGAAAGAAAAGGCTGCAGTGGAATGTTTGCTCTCTCTCAAATGCCGATCTGAGACGCGCCCATGTCACGCTTCTCTCTTTTCCGTTCCTGCCACGTAAAGACCCTTCTCCTTCCAACGCTGCTCGCAGAGAGGGAAAAAAAAAAAGAAAGCTGTCGCTAGGTTGAGTAAATGTGTGGTTGAAGGAAAGGAAAAAGGCACTATCTTCTGCAGCCCTTGCCCCTTGCGGGAGCATGGCTCTGCGCCTTGAGTGGGTCGGGGGTGGGGGGGGGGGGGGGGTCTCTCACGCTCCGGTGTCATGCTTCCCCCTTTTTCGTCCCTGCCACGATAGAGTTTCCCACAATACTAACTATAGGGAACTCTGGCGCTAGTGCCTATGGGAGCTGCAATGCATGGCACTTCAACGAGCTTGGGAATGATGGGTAGTACACACATTTGTCTAATTTTCGTACTTCTGGCCTGCTTCTGGCTCCGTGTGTGTTCGTGTGGCTTGGAGCTGTTTTTTCACGAAAGCATAAATTAGCAAATGTTCACCGTTTGTGCTTTACAACCTTATTCTTTTAAGCTTACTATTTCGAATCAAGTCCCTAAGTTCAAAAGGGTTCGTTCTTTCTTTCAAAACAAAACCGAAACACAGCAATAAACAAAGCCGCAAGTACGATTCACCGCCCGCAAGTACGAAGACTAGGCAAATGGGTGTACTACCCATCATTTTCATGGCCGCTGAACGATCGCATCGCCAGAGTGCCCTCTAGTTAATTTTGAGAAACTCTATGCCTGCCACGTAACCCTTCTCCTTTCAACAACGCACATGAAGAGAGCAAAAAAAAAAAAGGCTGCCGTGGAGTGTTGGTCTTTTTCAAATGCCGACCTGCTTCTCTTTGCATAGAGACGCTCCTCCTTTCTCGTCATGTGCTGGCCATGCTGTGGCTGCATAGCGGATAGCAGGAGGCTCCCCTACACAGTCGTTGTCGTCGTCTTTGGAAAGTGTCGGTGCTGGTCATTTCCGCACGCAACTTCTCTTGCCAGGAGAATGCTGAAGCCGAAGTAGAAATGCTTTGCAAGCTGCGTGCGAAATTGACTCGCTGCAAGCCAAGTGTGTGCAGACGCACATCACCGATTACTTCAATTATTAACGGATGTCCTGCGATTTGTGAATAAATTTAAGTCTTCTAAAACTTCCCCCTCGTGTGATAACTCAATGCGCATGCGCCACTGCACGGAGAGCCCTCCGTTTATTTAGCTTTCATTAATTCTAACAAATTTTCGGGCCCCTTCGAGTTCGAATTATCGAGATTCGACTGTAGCTAAAAGCTCTTAAAATAGTATGTTGAGAAAAAAGAAACACTAAGCGTTTTACTTTTTTTGCATTTCTCAAGTGAATAACAGAGCATTCAGAAGATTTTCTTCCTAAAGGTTTTTATTTTACTCCTTCTTTTACCAGGTTTACCACTTGGCAGGCGTGCGTTTTCAAGACCTCTGTGCAAGGCTGGGAATCCTGCAGAAGGACATACAGCTCAAAATATGGACATGCTTCGAGCATTCTATTGTCTCCCACATTGATCTCATGAGGGACCGACATTTGGACCAGCTTATTTTGTGTGCAGTCTATGTCATCACTAAGGTAAGGCAGCATTTTAACTCTTTAGCACCTTCTTTTCCTGTATTTGGGGGGGGGGGGGGGGGGGTATGTTATTCTCAAGGTCTTTGCTTGCTAAAGGATAATTAATTGACCATTTTTATGATTCGTAAGTGCCCTTACTTGCACTGCACATTTGCCCGACTAATGGTGGCACCGGTTGTGCTTCAAGTGGAGCTGAAGTCTTAGTTGCACGTGCCGAGGCTTTTTTATTAAAGTCGAGCCCGCTTATAACGAACCTCAGCGGGATGCAACATCTATTCGCTGTATCCTGAAGTTAGTAGTAAGTGAAACACAGCTTTAAAAATGTTGTGAGGGAGTTTTATTATTATTATTATTTAAAAGTTCGTAATACACGTTTCATAAAGCTGAAGTGATAGGGGTGGTCTTGGGTTTATTTAAAGCGGCAGCGTGCTTCTCACCGAGGCCCGTGGCATATACCAGCAGCCTGAGGCTATTAATATTAATGTAGCTAATTGCTACTGTTGCAAGCACGCTTGTGGGCAATGGCTCCATAGTTTCGTTGTCGTTATCATCCAATTCCTCCAAATCACTTTTGCTGCACACTTAATTCACATTGTCCTCATCCATGCACAGTTTCACGGCATCATCATCAGCCGTAATGAAATCATCGCAACAAATTTCCACCTGCGCTCCCATGTCAAAGTCGAGAACGCGCTGCCACAAAGCACTACTGGAGTGGTCCTGTTTGGAAGCTTCAAGCTTGGCATCGGGTCTAACATCGATGAAGTCAGATTCGCAGAAAAAGTTTTGCACACATGCAGCTGTCACCTCCACGCACGAAGCCTTCACCACCTTCACAGCTGCATGCTGGGACATCCGAAGTGGCAAGTTGGCTGCCGGGCGGTCAACAACCATGAGCAAGTGCTCCACAACACAGCACCTATAATAAGTCTTTAATGCGTGAGTTACGTCCAATCCAAGCGGTTGCACTTTCGTCGTTTTGTTGAGCGGCAGGAAAAGGCACGGAAGGCCTCCCTTCCGCCTTCCTGACCACACACGCACACCAACAGTGAGCATGCACTCTAACTCAACATATAAGCTGGGACGCGTGTGTGGTGTTTGCGAAAGACGTAAGAAGCACCGGCAGCACCACCATACAAAAAGACGTTTATTGTACACAACACATCGAATATATATATAAAGGACAGACGCGTCCCCTGGGGGTGAAAGAACACAAAGTAAAAACCGAAACTGAATATAACATACTCCCTCCCTTATATGTAGTGATTAGTTGTTAAGTGTTAGTAAGAAACCCCTATGCATGCACCGTACATTTTACACGCTGTATACACATACATATTTACTCTACATACACACTGTGCTATACACACAGGCAACTAGTGGGTCTGATTGTCCTTGAGCCAGACCGGTGGCCGGCGCTCTCGGGACGGCCGATGGGGATGCTGCACGGCCGGGGATGGTAATGAGCTTGTAGAGCTCTGTAGTACGCCAGGAGACCGCGATCGCGGCCCAGGAGAAGGCGGCTGCAGCATGGCAGGCTCCGGTACAGGCAGCTGCGGATCAGGAGCAGGCGACTGCGGCACGGCAGACTGCAGTACGCCAGGAGGCGGCGGCTGCGACCCGGGAGAAGGCGGCGGCGGCAGGGCAGGCTGCGGCACTTGAACCGGAAGCTGTGGCGCAGGTAGCTCCGAACATTGGTATGGTGGACTCGTGCCCCTCTCAGGAACCCGGGAAAGCTTGGAGGCGTTCCATGTGTGGCCGTCTGCAAGTCGGAAAGAGGCAGGTCCCCTCTTCCCCAACACCTCAGTTGGCGAGGAAAAGGAGCGATCCCCCTTGAAGCGAACGGACGGCTTCTTGATATGAACGTAATCACCCACAGCTATCTTTGGCTCCTTAGCAGCTCTCCTGCGGTCCGTGTACTCCTTACTGCTTTTCTGTTAAAGCCGGACCCTTTGGCACAGTCGCGCCAGTTCCTTTGCTGGGTCTTTTGCAAACGCTGGTGCCGAAAACCCTACAACATCCAATCTGGTTCGGGGCATTCGCCCATGCAGCAGAACTGCTGGGGCAACTCCAGTGGTAGCCTGTGGAGTACAGCGGTAAATAGAGAGGTAGTCCGTAACTGCTTGTCGGATAGGTCTCCTTTCGAGGAGTGAAACCTGGATGAAGTTCTTCAGAGTTCGATTGAACCTCTCGACTTGCCCATTCGCCTGGGGGTAATATACAGACGAATGAGACAGCTTGATGGCTCGGTTTTGAAGGAAGGTTACAAATTCACGTGAAGTGAACTGCGGCCCATTGTCGCAAACAATCTCTTCCGGGTATCCTTCACGGGCAAAAACACTGGTTAAGAAGTCTTTCACGGTGCTTGTGGCCACTTCGCTGCAGAAATATATCTCTGGCCATTTCGAATGGTAATCAACCAGTGTTATAGCAAATTGGCTATTGTGAGGTGCATGTTCCAATTGGCCAACAATGTCTAGGCCCAGTTTCTGCCATGGCCTTTCAGGCCAGTCAATAGACTGCAATGGCGCTGGCGATGTTTTGGCAGACTTATCTGCCTCCAGGCAGATGCGACAGTTTTTCACGGCAAATTCAGCTTGCTTGTCCATCCGTGGCCACCAGAATAGCTCACGAAGTCGCGCTTTTGTGCGCGTGATGCCCGGAGGTGCCTCGTGGGCAACGGCGATGAACTGAGCCGTGAGTGAGGACGAAACAATGAGGCGTTCTGCACGCAGTAGAAGGTCATCAACAACAGAAAGTTCTTCGCACACAGAGTAGAAAGGTTTTGCCTCCTCTGGTATGGACTTTTGTGGTGGCCAAGAACCGAGCACGAACAACTTGACGGTTTGCAGACAACCATTGTTGAGGACGGCTTGCTTGAATTCTTCCTTCGTCACGCAAGCCGACTCGACCAACGACACAATTTCTTCATCCTTGGCCAGCTGTGCCTGCGCGGCAGGAGCTGGCAGCCGAGAAAGAGCATCTGCCACCGTGTTGGTGGACCCCTTGCGGTACTCGACAGTGAAATTGTAGCATAGGAGTTACGCATTCCAGCGTGCGATTCGAAGTGGCCTTCTGCCACGTCCTTGCGAAGACAGCAACGATACCAACGCCTGATGGTCCGTTCGAATCTTGAAATGGCGACCCCAAAGGTAAGTGTGCCATCGTTCACACGCCCAAATGCATGCCAACGCTTCGCGTTCGCCGACCGAGTACTTTCTTTCCGCTGGTGACAAGGTACGAGACGCGAAAGCCACTGTGCGGAGCTCATGGCCATTTTGCTGCTGCAGAACGGCTCCCAGCCCACAGTCAGAAGCGTCGCTCGATACGATGACTGGAAGTGATGGATCGAACATGTGGAGAACTGTACTTGAAGAAAGCATTTCCTTGACCCTCCGGAAACTGCTGTCTGCTTCGGCTGACCAGATGAATGGCTCATTCTTGTGAAGCAGAACGCGCATAGGCTCGACCACCTGGGCCAAGCGGGGAACAAACTTGGAATAGTATTCTACAAGACCCAGGAATGAACGGAGGGCAGCAACATCTGTTGGCACTGGAGTGTTAACTACCGAGTCTACTTTCTCTGGAAGCGGCGAGATACCTTGTGCAGTGACCTTATGCCGTAGGAAAGAAAGTTCTGGAACGTCGAAGAGGCATTTGTCGTTCAATTTCAGGCCTGCGTACTTGACTTTCTGCAAGACCTTTGTTAGGTTCAAAAGATGTTCTTCTGCACTTTTCCCAAAGACTATCACGTCATCAATGTAGAACAACACACCAGGGCAGCCATCCAGAATTGTGGCCATCATCTGAAATGCCGCTGGGGCGGAAGCTAACCCAAAGCAAACTCTCTTGAACCGAAAAAGTCCTTCATGCGTGATGAAGGCTGTCAGGTCCCTGCTGTCAGGGTGCAAAAGAACCTGATGGTAGGCAAAAGCCAAGTCAAGTTTTGAGAAGTGTGTCGCGCCTACCAAGGCATGAAGGAGTTCCTCTGTATGAGGCAACGGGAAGCTGTCTGGTACAATAGCCTTGTTAGGCTCCCGGAGGTCAACACAAATTCTGATGGTGCCGTCTTTCTTGTCAACGACAACAATGGGCGAAACCCATTCAGAAGCATCGATGCGTTCGATGATGTCAAGGCGCAGCAACCTGTGAAGTTCATTTGACACTGGTTCCCGAAGTGAATATGGAAGAGGGCGCAGCTTCGAAGATACCGGCTGCACGCCTTGCCGAATCTTGACACGATGCGTGAACCGCTGAGCAAGACCCAACTCGGGACTGAAAAGTGAACCGAAGTCGTGTTCCAAGGCTGGCGGAAGGTTTGCTTGCCTGGGTTGCTCTATTGACTGCATCGGAATGTGACAAGGTGTCGGGTCATTAACACGCGCCGGCGAGGCAACGGACGTGTGCAGGCACTCAAGAGTGGAGCCCTGTATTCAAAGATTTAGGGCCTTAATGCCGTCAAGGCCAATCAGACAAGTTCCTTGGCGAAATATGTAGAAAAGAAGTGGTGCAGAGCGCCCTTTAAACTGAACGTCTGCCTGGAAACAGCCTAGCACGGAAATTGGGCGCTTCGAATAGTCAAACAAAGTGACATGCGGAGCTGGGAGGAGCCAACCACTTTGAAAATGTTGGTGAAATTCTTGCTCTAAGAAGTGGTGCAGAGCGCCCTTTAAACTGAACGTCTGCCTGGAAACAGCCTAGCACGGAAATTGGGCGCTTCGAATAGCCAAACAAAGTGACATGCGGAGCTGGGAGGAGCCAACCACTTTGAAAATGTTGGTGAAATTCTTGCTCTGATAGAATTGAAACAGACGACCCTGAGTCAACAAGGAATGACAACTTGACATCCGCTACGCGTACTTGTATGTAAATTGCGCTACGAGCAGGATGCTTCACAGTCAAAACTTTCTCAGAACTTCCCCCTGACAAAGCATCGTCATCAATGCTAACTTCACGAATCCTGCCTTGCATTTGACGCTTGCGGTTGCATACTTTCTGAA